CCCCCCCCGTCCTCCCCGCTCCCCCACTGCGACACACGATCTCATAAAGCCACACATCACCACGAAGATTCGTCAAGCAAGATGTCGACATTTACAGCAGTGGGCGCCAGTCTAGAGCAGTGGTTCTTAACCTTTCTTTGAGTCATGGATGCCTTTGAGAATCAGGTGAAAGCTACAGACCCCTCCCCTTGAAAAATGCACATAAGCACATAAACACAAAATTTTGCATGTGCCTGGTTCACGGACCCCCTGAAGCCCATCCACGGACCCCAAAGGGGTCCATGGACCAGGTTAAGAGCCCCTGGTCTGGAAGATATTAGTCAGTCGACGATGATGCCGTCCCACGCAATTAAAATTTCGCGGTTTGCGAAACGCGAAACCGTTTCTATTTCGCGCCGCCGCCTCCGCTTCTATACGTGACAACGAAAAACGGGATACGACGATACGAACGAAAACGGGTTTAAAAATAATCGCGCGTTCCCGGGATTCCGGCGTGACGTATGAAGACAAGGTCGTCTGTTGGGCACAGGTGACCACAAGCAGAAGTGACCGTGAAACTAACCTGGAAAAATCCCACCTGGGAACTACTAAAAACCCTGGTCAATGCCATTGCACCCCCCTCCCACCACGACGGGGAGGACGACCTAGACTGATTTATTTTTAAAAGAAGAGCTCAGACAAACTCAGCGCGTGTCTCAAAGTGCACGTGCACACTTCGTTAATAGACTATTATTATTAATATTATTATTATTATTTGTTAATAGACTAGAACATCCATCTATTAACGAAGTGCTAAGACAGGACACCGGTCAAACAAGCGTGCAGACTACTGGTGCCACCTAGTGGCCGATGACGTCATTCGTATAAACTCTCGAGATTGCGGTTACATATAAGTTGCGAGTAAATTCAGAAGGTCACCTTGACCCTCATGTTCCCCTGGCTAACCAGGGTATGAAAGTCACCTTGACCCTCCTGTTCCCCTGGCTGACCAGGGTATGAAGGTGACCTTGACCCTCCTGTTCCCCTGGCTGACCAGGGTATGAAAGTCACCTTGACCCTCCTGTTCCCCTGGCTGACCAGGGTATGAAAGTCACCTTGACCCTCCTGTTCCCCTGGCTGACCAGTGTATGAAAGTGACCTTGACCCTCCTGTTCCCCTGGCTGACCAGGGTATGAAGGTGACCTTGACCCTCCTGTTCCCCTGGCTGACCAGGGTATGAAG